TATATGAAGTCACAAGACATAATGTATTAATTCAGAATAGCAATATATTTATAATAAAACTATAAAGTAGTTTGGGTCTCATGTTGTCTTTCTGTTGTAAAACTACATAGGAAGCTAAGTTATAATCTAAAACTGGCTTGCCTAGCCTGAAATCAGAGCAAGGGGAGGTTAAGTGGATTATTATGATGGCTAAAGGTCTGATTAGCATCATAATCATGCCACGTGAACTGAATTCCTTACTTTACTTTTTAAATATAAAAAGTAAAGTGTGTATTTGTTTCAGTTTTTTTTTTTTTTTTGAGACAGAGTCTCACTTTGTTGCCCAGGCTAGAGTGAGTGCCGTGGCGTCAGCCTAGCTCACAGCAACCTCAATCTCCTGGGCTTAAGTAATCCTTCTGCCTTAGTCTCCTGAGTAGCTGGGACTACAGGTATGTACCACCATGCCCGGCTAATTTTTTTTCTATATATATTAGTTGGCCAATTAATTTCTTTCTATTTATAGTAGAGACGGGGTCTCGCTCTTGCTCAGGTTGGTTTCGAACTCCTGAGCTCAAACGATCCACCAGCCTCAGCCTCCCAGAGAGCTAGGATTACAGGCGTGAGCCACTGCGCCCAGCTGTTTCAGTTTTAAGTAACAAGAAATAAGCTAAAAAAAAAAAGGCTCCTGCCTTTTATAAGGAAGTACTTTGGATTAGCTGGAAGCTTGGTATTTAGTCGTTGTCCATCAGAGTTGGCATGGCCCCAGGAATTTAGGAGTTAAAAGGGATAGTACTGTATTAGAAAAGGAGAGGCAGCGGGAGTCCTCTCAGATGAGCAGAGCTAGATGACAGGGGAGCTGATCAACCTGGAATCAAGGAGACAGAGTCCCAGGAGTTACTTGCTACCTACTCCTAAGATCATTAAACTACATGGCATTTCAGAGGTAAAAGGGCCCTTTAAGGATTATCTGGTTCATCCTCTCACATATAAGAATAAATTTCTCAAAGACATAAAACAAGTTTGTGTCTTAGTTGGGATTAGAGCCCAGTTCAATGCTCTGACATTATGCCACACTGCTTCTTTCCAATTTCCTATCAGGATCTAAAAGTGAAAATCCAGAGTCTCAAATGAAGCTTTGAAGAAGAAAGCCCAAAGGAGAATGGGAAAGAGTATGGGAGAAATGTGTGAAGGCAATATGGCTCAGAGTGATATTGGACCTGATAGCTGGCTCTAGTGAAAGATGTCCATGGCCTCTCTCTCTAGACTCAGGTATCAACAGAGCCAAGTCATTTAATCATGTGAGTGTCAGGTTTCTTATAAATAAAATGTATCTGAAAATAATTATACCTATTTCAGAGTTACCAGGAAGATAAAATGAAATAGAAAACATTAAATCAATAATAGCATTTTAAAAATTTACCAAGAAGCATTCTCATCTTACTCTGAATTTTAAACATTTGCACACTAATGACCAGAAGGTAGGAAGGAAGGAGACCGTATGATTATAATGAGAACAGGCTTACACACAGAGAACATCTTGTGTTATAAAATGAATTGAGTAACCACATTTTTTCCACATTGTATCACTTGCTTCTTAGCCAGGACACTGAGATGGCTAAACCTCTGCTGTTACAGAAAGCTCTGTTGCAGGACCTACTGAGGGTATGAGGTTGGGGAGAAGAGAGTTGTGGGAGAGTACAACCAGATTACTGGAATGATGACTAAAGGCACTGGTCTGGAAATGTCATCTGGAAGAAGGTCTCTCTCTACCTTCTGAACCTGGTCCTTCTGGTCATTCTCTGTTAAAAATCTAACGTCTCCAGTGAGACACAGAAGAAGAAAGGAAAAGAGACAACAAGCTTCTCTGGAAGCATGAACCACATAGTGAGTCATATTTCTTATCAGCATGTGTGCAGTCAGAAAGGAATGCATGTCCAACAATTCCTGGACACAAAGACTCTCAGCTCTTTTGGCTCGGGAGAATTGTCTAACTGCTCAAAATAACAATCAAAATAATAGAGAATTCCCTAGGCAAGGAGGTGAGAAAATCATGACTGAATAAAGCCTAGAGAACCAAAGCTTATCCTGTTTTAGCCTCAAGTAAACAAAAACGACTCTACTACCAGTTCTAAGGCACCTTCTTGCTGCTTCCACAGAGGCATTATCTCACAGGGCTTACAGAGAGAAGGTAATGTATTTCTCAGACGAAATCAAGGGCACTTGTTTCTTTCAGCATATAGAGGAGTGGCACTTCCCTGAGCCAAGAAGTGTGAATCTTCCTCACCTTGCCCCCAAGTCTCCTCCATCTCAGTGCCACTATCCTAATCCAAGCAACTCTCACTTCTTTGTCCACAATTATTACCATACAACCCATTCTCCAAAGAGTAGCTCAAGAGAGTTTTTAGATAACAGCTTTATTGACATATAATTCAAATACCATAAAATTTACCCTTACAATTCAGTGTTTTTAAGTATATTCACAGAAATGCGAAAACATCACTCCTATCTAATTTTAGAACATTTTCGTCATCTTGAAAACAAACCCCATACCTATTAGCAGTCAATTCCCATTTCCCCTTCTTCCAGCCTCTGGCAACCATTAATCTACTTCTCCCTTTATGTATTTGCTTATTCTGAACATTGCATATAAATGCAATCACATAATGCATTGTCTTTTGTGACTGGCTCTTTTCATTTAGCATAATGTTATCAAGGTACATCTATATTGTAGCATGTATCAGTACTTTATTCCTTTTCTTATTGCCAAATAGCATTTTATTCTATAGATATACCACATTTTATTTATTCATTTATCAGCTGATGAACATTTAGGTTGTTTTGGCTATTATGAATAATGCTGCCACATTCATGATACATTTTTGTGTGGACATATGTTTTCTATTCTCTTAGGCATATCTATGAGTGGAATTGCTAGGGGATGTGGTAACTCTGTGTTTGACATTTTAAGCAATTTCTAAACTGTTTTCCAAAGTGGCTGCAGCATTTTACAATCTCACCAGCAATGTATGAGGGTTCCAATTTCTCTACATCCTCAACAACACTTGTTATTGCCCATCTTTTGATTACAACCATACCCATGGGTATGAAATAGTAGCTCACTGTGGCTTTGATTTGCATTTCCCTAATGACTAATGATGTTGAGCATCTTTTCAATTGCTTATGGGCCATTTGTATATATTCTTTGGAGAAATATCTATCCAAATCCTTTGCCTATTTTTAAATTGGGTTGTCATCTTTATTGCTGAGTTGTAAGTGTTCTTTTATATTCTGGATACACATCAAGGTGATTTTTAAAAAATAAATCAGTTCTAATCATTCCCCTGCTTAACACCCTCTAATGTTTCCCCAATATGTTTAGAATAAAATCCAAAATTCTCACTCTGGCTTACAAGGCCCTACATGATTGGCCCTTGACCATTTCTCCAACATCATTTTGTACCACTTTCCTGCTCAGGCAATGCATTCTCGTTGGAGCAGTCTGCTTACTGCCCTTGAAACATCGAGCTTATTCATATCTCAGCACCAATGTATTAGCTGTCCCTTCTGCCTGCTTAAAATTCTCATCATTCAGGTATCAATTCAAATATCAACTTTTCAGATAAATTTCCTGAAAAGAAATTTTAACTAAAGAAGTTCTCCTTCCACAAAAAAAAAAAAAAAAACAAAAAACTTTTGGGGATGATAGATATGTTCATTATTTTGATTGTGGTAATGGTTTTGTGGATGTATATATATGTCAAAACTTTTCAAATTGCACACTTTAAACCTGTGCCATTTATTTTATGTCATGTATACTGCAATAAAGCTATTAAACAAAAACCTCCTTTTACAACCACACCTTTACTGTCCCTATCCTAGCATACTTTATTTCTTTGGGAGACATTATCTTATTTCTATGTATAAAAATTATTTATCTGAAATTATCTTATTTCCTGATTTAAATGTTTACTATCTGCTTCACCCCACTAGAATGAAAATGAAAGTACCATGAGAGCAGGACCATTGTTCATCTTTGTCACTACTGTATCCTCAGCTTGGCTTACAATTAGGTGTTCAATAAATATTTGGGTAATTGAATAAATAAATTCAATGGAGGTTTAGAAAAATACCCTCTGACAATAGGATGGGTGACTTTCCATTCCCTCAGATTCACCAGTACTTTGCAGATTTGAGAGGATGAGATTATTATTATTTTCTTTACTAAAAGCAGCTATTTCTAAATCTTTAACATCATCACCATCATCAGAGGAATTATTTATCGTTTATTTAGTCTATGGCACTATTCTAGTACTTTATATATACTCTCCCATTGGTAGTGGTTAGTTTTATAATAATAATATAATAATAATATAGCATATTATAATAATCATACAGTATAATATATTAATATTTGTTTTACACTTGCTGTTTGCCAGATGTAAGCATTTTACTCATGTAATCTCATTTATTCCTCACAATAATTTTATGAAGTAGGTTTTCTTTTACAGACATGGAACTTGAGGTTTAGAGAGGTGAATTAACTACCCAAAGCCACACAGCTGATAAAAGGCAGAGATGGAACTTAAACTACATTTATATTACTTCAAAGCCCATGCTTTTTCCTTTCTGCTACAGCGCTTTGCAAGTATTTTTAAACATGATGTTAATCCAGTTCATATACAAAGCCCCTACAGTCAGAGGAAGATGTGTGCCTTGATAATGATGCTACTCAAACTTTTAAATGGGTTAGGGACAAAAGAAAGTGAGATGAACAGCTAGTTGCCTGAAAATAAACCAGGATATTTAGAGCAAGGAATTTTTACTTACTATTTCTGATTACTTTCTGGTAATCAGAGGTCTACTCTCTGATAGACCTTAGTTATTATCTAAGCTGCTAGCCCCTGCTTCTCCTCTGCCTACTAGTAAAGTTTCCTGGTGAAGATATGCTGACCATGATAGACATGGGTAATCTCCCTTATCATCTGGGTCCTAGTTTCAAGAGCCTGTAGATGGGCCTTTACCTTTGGTGCCGGGAGGCTGCAGGTTGTCTCCAGTCAAGGAACACCAGCCCACAGGGAAGATGTCCCGGGAGTCGAAGCGGCACCAGTAGTCAAAGGCCCCTCGCCACCCATCAAACGTGACAAGCACCTCTGGGCCCCGAACCTCCCCAATAGTAGCAGGGCAAATGAAATGAGGGTTCTTCCTGTCCACAGCTTCTAGCTTCATTCCCATTTTGAAGAAGTTGTGGGAAGGCGATGGTGGCTCCTAGATAAGAAACAGAAATATATAGACCTAGACACAAAGAGAGGCTACGTATGCCAGTAGACTGCTATCTCATCTGGATGATTAAAAAGTGACTGCTATATAAGATTTATTTAATATATGGAGATTTAATATTTCTTTTAAATTAATTTCAAAGTATACCAAAGTATTACATTATTAATTCTAACATTTTGACATCTTTGCTTCAGATTTTTAAAAAATAAATAAAAAGTTACAGATAAAGCTGAATTTCCCTTTGTGCCCTTCCCCTATTCCACTCCTTTTCTACCTATCACAGAAGTAATAATTACCCATGTATGTTTTTATACTTTACTATATATGTACAAATCCATTTGTCTGCTTTTAAATTTTATATAAATGGTGTTATATTATACAAATCATTCTACAACTTGCATTTTTTTGTGTAACATTATGCTTTTGAAAATTACCCATGTTGATGAATTTAATTCCACTTCATTTTAACTCCTGATAGTATTCCAATTTATGTATATATTACAATGTATTCATTTTCTTTTAATGGATATGTATAGTTGTTTCCAATTGTTTACTATTTAAAAAAGAGTTTTAATGACCACTCTTACAATTCTTCTTTTGTACATATACAGGAGGGTTTCTTTAGGATATATATCTAAGAGTAGAACTGCTGGGTTATAGGGTAGATATATATACATCTTCTCCTTTATGAAATTTGTTAAACTGCCCTCCAAATGGGTTCTAACACTGTACACTCTTACCAGAACTGTGGAAGTTCTTGGGTGCTGATTTGTTGCATAGATCAAGTTTCAAAAAATTTGTTGTACACTCTGTTCTGTTCTGTTCCCTTAGTCTTACTGTTTGATCCTGTACCAATAACAGTCTTATAAAATGGATATCTGGTAAGAAAAATCCACCCAGCTTGTCATTCTTCAATATTGTTTTGGCTATTCATTCTCCTTCACTTTTCATATGAATTTTAAAGTTTTCAAGTTCTATAGAAAAACCCTTTTAGGATTTTGACTGGAATTGCAATGAATTTATAGATTAATATGGGAGGAAACAACCTTTGTTACATATGATATTGAGCCTTCTCACCCATAAATATGATAGTCTTTTCCATTTGTTAATATTTCTTTAATGCAGATTTCTTCTTTAACACATTGACTATCATACTAGAAAAAAAATTTCATTGGGGCCACAATGTTTTATTATGAAAATAGAATAAAAATTTCAAAAACAAAACGATCCTTTCTAATTTAATGAAAAATTTGTTTTTTATTGTTTTCTGTTCATCAGTTATATGCAACTTGAAAAATAGTTCTTGAGGCTCCAAGGTGAAGAGACATGTGAGTTACATATGCTTCGTGATGCCCCAGGCTCAAAACTAGTGTGAGTTAAATACAACTCACATGGGAGTTAATGGGTTAACATAGAATTTTAAATTTCCACTATAAATATGCTTTTTTTGCTAACATTTTTTCTAGGCAAATTATAATACTACTGCTATCACAAATAGCATTTAAAAATTTTTATTTTCAAACTATTTGTTGTTGTTAAATAGGAGTGAAGTGATCTTTACAAACTGATCAAGAGATTTGATACTGATGCTTATGCTGATTGATATACCAATTTTTATCTGCTTGATTTATCAATTAGAAGATATATATTAAAATATTCACTAGTGATCCATGGATTTTCCAATTTTGCCATGTAATTTTGACCAATTTTGCCTTAAATACTTTCAGATTGTTTTTTAGATACATGTACATTTATAACTGTTTTATCTTCTTGGTGAACTGAATATTTTTAATCATTAGTTAGTGACTTCAATACTGTTTAGCATGAAAGTCTCCTTTGTCTGATTTTAATATAGTTTACACCAGCTTTATTTTGATAAGTTTGCCCAACATATTTTTTATATTCTTTTACTTTCAACGTTTTTATGTCATTATGTTTAAGCAGTATTTCTTATAAACAGCATATACCTAGATTTAAAAAATCTGACCCACATATTACTAAACTGGCAAGTTTAAGCTAATTTCATGTAATAACTGATGTATCTGAATTTATGACAACTATTTCATTGTCTACATTTCTATTTAACTTGATTCTTCAAGGTCCTTTTTTCTCCTTTTCAATCAACTGAGTCTTCTTCCCCCAACCCATTTCAGCAGTTAAATATCCTATTTATAGCTTTTTGGTGAATCCCTTTAGGGTTTTAACTGAATAGCTGACATAACAAAGTCTAAAAGCCATCTTTATTTCAGTCACAAACAACATAACTACTCCTGAGTTACACAGGTATTAGAAAATTTAGTTCTACATTGTTATACTGCCAATTACTCATGTTTGTTATTGTACTTCATTTATACAGTAATTGGCAATGCTTGATTAGCTTTATCCACGTGTTAACCAATCTTTTTCCTCACCATTACTTCTTGTATCTCATTTTTATTTTCTGATTCGATTACCTTCTTTCTGAAATATATTCTTCAGTTTTTTCAGTGGATATGTTAGTACCCACTTGTATTGGTTGTTTGAAATGTTTGATTTTATCTTCATTTCAAGATTAACAGTATAACTAGATATAGAATTATAGGCAGATGATTCTTTTCTCTCAGTGCTTTGAAAATATTTCATTATTATGGCTTGTCTTGCTGCTGTCAAGAAATGTGCTGTCAGCCTAACTATAATCCCTTTAAGAGTATTTGGTATGATTATATGTTCAGATGTTTTCTTTTGAGTTTAGTTGCCTATAGTTATATCATGATGTTTTAAGGTATATATTTGTTTTTATTACACACTCTGGAAAATTCTTAATTATCTTTTCAAATGTTGTCTATTTTCTATTCTTTGTAATTTATCTTTCTGGATTTCATGTTCAGTATACACTGGACTTTTTAATATAATTTTCCTTGTTTCATCCTCTTAATATATTTCCTCTCTTTATCTCTCTGTGCTGTAATCTAGGGAAATTCCTTACACATCTTTCAGTTAATTTTTCTTTATGCCTAAGCTACATGTACATTTGCCTATTAATTTTTAATTTAAATGGTTTGAAATCTGCATAAACTTCATTTCTAGATGTTTAATTTAGTCTTTTTTCAAATCTGCCTTTTTAAAAATAGCATTTTGTACTTTTCTCTTTTTTTATTCCTTCTTTTAATTCCCTAGTCATTTTTAAACTTTTCTCTTTTTTTATTCCTTCTTTTAATTCCCTAGTCATTTTTAAATACGTAATTTTTAATCCATATCTGATATTTTAATTATCTGAAAGTCCTTGAGGTTATGTTATTGTTTGTTGTGTCTACTCCCCATCATGTCAGATTTGAGAGTGTTTTGCAATTCCAGATTAAGTATGCATCTTCAGTGGTACTTCACTTTGGGAACTTCTTTGACATCAAACCCTTTAAAGAGATTTTGTGTTTGCTTCTTCCAGGCACTGAGAAGTATCTCCACACAATTTTGCAGGTTCTAGACAACACAGGAACCATAACTGAACTACAAGGAAGAAGGCATTATTTTATCAGAGGAGAGAACTCCATTTCCACCCCTGCCCAGAGGCAGCAGAGACTCTTCCTCATCAATGTAATAATCTTTCACTAAAGGGTGAACATTTGAGGGATCTGATCTAGTTTTTCCACAGCAGTGTCAGGTCCATTTCCCTACCTTGCATGGGCTGCCCAGGGCCTCATCTGTGTCTTACTGTGGCTATATAAAGATAAGATTCTTGGAAAGTAGGACAGGCAAAACCATGTAAGGTAGCTGCAGGTTCAGCACATACATTTAACACTCTTGATTTTCCTTCTACGTTTTTGGCTTCTGGAGATTTTTCTTATTTTTTGGTAAGTAAGCTCAGCAAAGCATTGAAAAGAGTATTTGCTGGGTTTTTTTCCCCCTTGGTATTATGTAGTAAAAATATTTTAAGTTGCCTAGTATACTATATTTTGAGAACCAGTATGCTCTCAGGGTTTAGACTTAACTAGCAGCATAGGCAAACTTAATTCAGTTCCACTTTGCAGTAACTCTCACCATATCAGAGAATTCAACTAATAGCAGACTGACTGCCTCACCCTTTGAGAAACAAGAGAACAAACACAGGTTTTGGATCCCTTTTCTGCCACTTACTAGCCATGTGATCTTGAGCAAGTTCCTCATTCAAAAGTATATGTTTTCTTAACTATTAAATAGAAATAGTAATTCCTAGTCCATAAAGTTAGCTGTGGGTATTATATGAGATAGTATATATAAAGTTCCAAAGGTATTGTACGTACTCAAAAAATAGTCTCCTTCCTTTCTCTGTTTAGAACATACTCTATAGAACTCCAAGCTCTATAATAATAATAGCTTCTTTAGATTCATATTATATTTTATATATTCTACTAATAACAAATTTTAACTTTTTAACCCAGTGAGGTACAGTCCCATTTTACAGATGAGGTAAAAAAGACACAAGTTATTGGCAGCTAGGACCAAAAAATCAGGAGTCCCACCTCACAGCCAAATGCATTCCTCTGGGGATAACTGCTGCTTCATATGAAGTACTAAAAAATCCAACTGAACTACTTTCTGAGAAGGTATCCTCAGGCCATAAATATAAGGCAGACATCAAAGGCTCAGTAGTTAGAGGAATTTAAGTATTTGACCTCAAGTACCTTGGAGTTAGTGATATCTGAGGGATAGCATACCTTGTGGAAAATCCTGATGGGAGCCATCTCTGCTCCATTTAGTGTCTTCAAAAGGAACATGGGCCAAGAGGAGGCATTTAGCCGAAATCCTGCAGCAAACATAATGGGCAACAGATTAAAAGTATACTTCAAAAGATAACCGTGATTCAAGTTCTGCCTCTGGAATCCAGCTACTCCCATGCTATGATAGTCATGGAATCACAGACTGTTAGGAAAGGACTTAAATGTTAAATGGAAGAAATGCCTCATGAGACAGATGAGGCAAATGAGGCACATAAGAGGGAATGCAACTTGTCCAAGGCAATGCTGCAAACTCAACAGTGGGATAAAGTTTCCAAACCAAATTTCCTGACTCCAAGACAAGTATATAACAGATTATATTATGCATCATAATGCCTAGAAAACTTTCCTTGAAAAATCCAAAAATGATGTGAGATAAGATTAACTATTTCTTAGAAATGATATCCAGTGGTACCCAACCTTTTTAGGCACCAGGGACCCAGAGACTGGTTTCATGAAAGACAATTTTCCCATGGACTGGGGGTGGGGGAGGTGGAGCTCAATTAGTGACATGCTGGCTGCTTGCTCACCTCCTGCTGTGTGGCTCCTCCCCTTCTCCCCTGTTTCCTAAATTTCATGGAAAACAATTTTAACAGGATGGGGGTTGGGGTGTGGGCAGCAGAGCTCTGTGGCCTGGTCCGTCACAGGCTGTGGACTTGTGCCAACCTTCCCAAGGTCAAGAGATTTCTTGGGATAGCTTACCCATGTCAACAATGGTGATAGCAATGAGGACATTCCTGTCATGTAATCTAAAACTGCCACCACTTACTTTGTGCTTGTCTATCTTTTTTTCCCTTTTGGGGGAAAAAAACCAACCCAATTCCATGTGATTTGGAGCTGATCGCATGGCCTTACCTCCCTGGCCATGGGTTAAAAATAATGCCATTTAAGAGTACTGGATTCCCATAGACCAAGGGTATATATGTTTTCTGATGTGATATTGATTTTGGAGGAGAAAATCTTTCTTCCTCTGAGAACATGGCTATAAGCATGTTCGTAGATTGGGCACTACCATGTGGGGAGCATAGCTGAGAATAAAACCAAGGTAGAGCAAGGGATGGAGAGATGTGATAGGGTTTAAAACCTTGTATTCAGACACATTCAACATCAGATAAATGCTTAGACTTCTTGGTTATATGAGTCAATAATTCATGCCTCCTCCTTTTCCCTCTCCCTAACCTGGTATGAACTGGATTTTTGACTGCTACTCATCTTTTGACTATGGCTGAGAAAAAAAAAATTAACTCTCTCCAGAAATTCAGGCCTGGTGTGTATGTGGGAAAACAATTCGCCTCAGGTCAGGGAAGGGCTAAAGCAAAACAAACCCAGGGTAGCTTTGCTATGAATGGTTTGGTACACCTGTGAAGAAGGTAAATCAAGGCACAACTGTTCTACATAAGTGGTCTCTATACCTTAGTAAAACAAAGGAACAGGGAGCCATGGCTCTACAAATACAAAATTCAGGTTTCATGTCTTTAGTTCCCAATGACTACAGTATCCAGCTATGTAATTCCCAATTCCATTTTTGAGGAAGGGATTACTGAGGGCCTTCTATCTCATCTGGAACTTAAGGACAAAAAATCCTCTCAGTTCTGGGAATCCTTATAGTATAGTATTAGTATTATATCAGATAATATATATTGAATGCTTTTCTTAATATTTGAAATAATACCATAAAGTAGGTATACCATAAAGAATACCATAAAGAATAACTACTGTTATTCTTAGTTTACAGTGATGACATGGAAAGAGAAGTAGCTTGTCCAGGGTCATGCTAATAAGTGGTAGAGACAGATTTCAATATATTGTGATTGTATGCCAGACCTCATGGTTCTTTACTGTTTCATTACCTTCTAGCAAGCTTCTTTAAGAGTAGAGGGGCAAAACAGAAATGTTAAGAACTCAAGGAACTGCTAAGATATTTTATTTCCCAAACTCCAAGGTTATATAGGACTCTTCCCCCCCCAAATTCAGGTGTATCCATAATTTGTCTCAATATTCTTGGGAAGTCATAGATAGCAAAGACCTTTAACATTAAAAGGGACCTCAAAGGCCATCTAGTCCAAAGATTTTACATTGCAGATGACAAAACTGAAGTCTAGAGAGGCTAAGAAATTTGTTTGTGGTCACACAAGCTAATCTTACAGAGTCAGGCTGGAACCCAGGAATTCTTATCTGGTTCTCTTTCACTACACTATACTACCTCCCAAAGCTAACGTTTATTATGTGCACATTGTGTGCCAGGCTCCATGTGCTAAGTACTTTAAGTGGATTATCTCATTTACTCACTACTACAAGTCTAGTCACTATTTACAAATTAGATACTAGAAAAGTAGCACTGTTTCTGGAACCAGGCAGCCTAGATCAAATCCAGCTCTGCCACTTAACAGGTGTGTAACTTTTGGCAAATGATAAAACCTCTCTCTAGCTTAAGCTTCCTCAAAATAATGTGGGATAAGACTAGAAACTACCTCATTGGGTTGTTCTAATGATTAAATAGGTTAATACACAAAAAAAGATTTAAAACCTTCCCTAGCATATAGTGTTAATAAATGTTCCTATTATTTTTATAATTTTAGATGAAAAGATTAAGACTTACAGAAATTAAGTAAAATATCCAAAGTTAGCAAGCCAGTAAGTAGTTGAACCAGAATATGAACCCAACTACTGTGTCCAAGCCTTCATTACTAATCATCATATTAATATCTTCAGATACTTCATCACTCAGTCCTATCATACCAGCTCTTGGTAAGAACAGTTGGAGTCATAAACTTGTGAAAGAGGGAAGAGAAGGAGAATAAAAATAATAATTTGAGGCTCTCCTCAAATTAAGCAATGACTTGAGGTGCTTGCAAGGAAAGGGATAGGTGGGTAAAAAATTGTAATCTCTCAATGTACAGTACCTCGGTGCTCAGTCATTGGTTCTTCCTTCTTCTCGGTTCCTACTCTCTTCCTGTCAAATGATGACTGCCAATCTATAGCTCTGGCCCAAACCTCTGCCCTAAGGTTCATGCTCATATATCTAACTGCCTTATTCTATAACACTACTTGAATGTCTAAAAGATCTCACAATGAGTAAGTGTCAAATAGAACTCTTGATTTTACTGCTCCTTCCAAACCTTTTATTTCCTCTAGTCATCCCATCTCAGGTAATGGTACCACCTATTAAACCTAGGTGTGCTTGGACCAAAAGGTGTAGAAGTCATCCTTGATTCCTCCTTTCCCATCACCCCCACCCCAATCCAATTAATCAGCAAGTCTTGATGGCTTGTCTAAACAATATGTCCTAAATTGAACCATTTCCCACCATCTCCACTACTATATGACCCTCATCTAAGCCACAGTAAAAGCTTCCCTAGACTATTGCAACAGCATTCTAGCTGGACTCCCTACTTCTACTTTTACCTCCCTACTGTGTGGTCTCCATGTAGCAGCCAGACTAATATGTTTATGTTTTTTAAAATATAAATCAGATCACATCACTCTTATGCTTAAATCTCACAACATAAAATAAATCTAAACTCTTTACTCATGTTTACAAAGCTTAAATGATCTGGAACTTGCTTACTCCTCATTACTCATCTTATATCACCGCTTCCCCCCCCTCCCAATCACTGGTATTTCCATTCCTCAAACACACCAAGATGTTTTCCTCTGCCTCAAACACCCTTTCCTCGAATCTTTACAGTTAGTTCTTTGCTTAAATATCACCTCCCCAGAGAGTCATTCCTAAACTACTCTACCTTAAATAGCCTCCTAACTCTACCCTGCTTCCTTATTTATTCCTAGCCCTTATCACTATCTTTTTTTTTATTTTAATGTGTCTGTCTTCTCTGACTAGAATATAAGATCCATGACAGTTTTAATGAATTAAGGAAAACCACCACTTATTAAATGAGCATCAAGAACTGATGGATGCTTTATCATCTTACTCCATTTAATCCTCACAAAAACCACGTGTGGTAGAATTTATTAATGATCTTGCAGGTAAGGCAACTGAAATTAAAGGTTAAAACTCACAGTAAAACAACTTACCAGTGGCCACACAACTAAGGTAGTGAGTGGCTAACCTAGTAATATAAGTCAAATCTCCTTTAACTCCAAACACAGGCTGTAAGTCCTCTGTGTTTACCTAGGATTTATTTTTAAAATATTCATAAGGAACCAGTTCTAAGGAGTTTCCACGTGCTCCCAAGACTGTGGGACCACTGAGGTAGTAGTTACAACCTGATGAAGCTCTGAATTTAAGTGCAGAGCAGCAGGTCTATAAGCCAATCACAGTTCATGCCCTCTGGTGGCAGGAAACAGAACAGCATCTACACCAGGTACCCACATGTTGTGGGCCCCAGGCCCCAATTAGCTGTTGTCCTACGTAACATAATAATTCTAAGCTTTGTGGAGATATTAAACTCTACTGGTGTCATTATGATTCCAATATGATACTCCAACTCATTCTCTGTTCCCAGAAGAGCTTTATGTATAAATATATGCTACTGACTCACTGTATAACCTTGGACAACTCACTTCCCTTTCTCTGTTTCTATATATCAGATGAGGACACTGAACTAAAGTAGTGTTTCCAAACTTCAGTTTGGTGGATTACTTATATTTCACACCAAGAGTGAGAGAAGTGAGAAGTAGAAATGGAAGAGAGGCTCTCCCTTGATGAAGAGAATACTCAGCCTGATGGTATTTGAGAAGAACTGTTAGGATTCCTTTTAGTTCTGACATGACTCTTAACACCACTTCCCTGCTCCACCCTCATATACACACACAAATATGAGTTAATTCAGATTAATTTAATTGGGGGTGGGGGGTTTTGAGGAGTCTTGAAGATAGGTAAAGGTATAGATGTGGATAGGTATAGATGGTTCTGGCATTAACCAGTGCCAGGAGCCTTGCTGCAGTGAAGAGAGTTGAGTAAACATTTTTAAAAGTATCTTCATAAAATAAGCATTTAAGCCATCATGGTCAAAGTCTCTTCTCTTTAAAATTTTATTTTGTTTATTTTTTCCCCCACAAATTTCTA